AATGACATTCTCCGGGGACATCCATATTACTGCAAATGGCATTATGTTGTCATTTTTATGGTTGAATAGTATTCCATTATATAATATACCACAACTTCTTTATCCAGTCATCTGTTGATGGACATTTCGGCTGTCCCCATGTCTTGGCTATTGTAAATAGTGCTGCTTGTGAACATTGGGGTCAGGTGTCTTTTTGAAGTAGGGTTCCTTCTGGATATATGCCCAGGAGTGGGATTGCTGGATCATAGGGTAAGTCTATTCCTAGTCTTTTGAGAAATCTCCATACTGTTTTCCTCAGTGGCTTCACCAAACTGCATGCCCACCAGCAGTGTAGGAGGGTTCCCTTTTCTCCACAGCCTCTCCAGCATTTGTCATTTGTGGACTTTTGAGTGACGGCCATTCTGACTGGTGTGAGGTGATACCTTATTGCAGTTTTGATTTGCTCTGATAATTAGTGATACTGAGCATTCTTCCATGTTTCTATTGGTCATTCATATGTCTTCATTATAACAGGGGAATTTTATGGAATATAGATTTTTACCTCTTTAAGACAGTTAAATATTTTTTCTGAAATAAGGCACATACCTCAATTAAGTAAGTAATAGTTCTTTTCTATGCAAGAGAAATAGAAAGGGACTATAGTTAAAGTGTGGCCCGCAGACCCTTGGAGGTTCTTGAGACATTCTTAGGGAGTCCTCAAGGTCATTTTCCTCATAATACAGAAGCTATTTGCTTTTTTCTCTCTGTTGACATTTGCACTGATGGTGCAAAAGCAATGGCAGATAAAACTGCCAGTTTTTTCCGGGCAGTGGCCTCACGTCTGGTTAGTAGTCGTCGTGGTCACCACCACCAGGCACTCACAGGGGAAGAATACATTCCGTTCTCATTTAAGAATGTCTTTAATGAAGCCGTAGGAATTATTTAATTTTATTAACCCTTGTGCCTTGGATGCATATCTTTTTAATAGTCTGTGTGATGAAATGGGAGGTGCATACGAATAAGATGGTTATCTCGAGGAAAAGCTCTTCTGCAGCGGGTTGAGTTGCAAGCTGAACTGACAGCAGTATTTTATGGAACAGCATCTCTACTGCAGGTTAAAAAAAAACAAAGCCTGAGAGACAAATTGCAGATATTCAGACCTGCGTATTTGGCAAACATTTTCTCAAAAATGAACAAAGAGAACCTGTTACTTCAAAGAAAACAATTATCAGTATTTGTTGCTGGTCATAAAATTCAAACATTAAACCCAAATTAGAATTTTGGAAAACTTGTAACCACCACTAAAAGTTTCATAGCGTTTGTCATGACTTTTCTGATGAGACTGATGGTGATTTTAACAAATGTGGGGTTTTTTTTTCATATTGTATAATAAAGTGTATCAAAATTTGGAGAATAGAGGTGAGAGGTCTTAATACTAAAAAGTGTGAGGGCTGCTGGCCTCGTGGCTAATAACGGACTCGGGCCATTGTGCATGGGTTCAAGTCCCAGCACTATTACTTACTACTTGCAGGGTCTCAGTAAGTGCTTCATCTCTCTGTGCCTTCAGATTCCTCATCTATAAAATGGGGAAATGGGGATAATAACGGTGTCTATCTCAGAGCGGTATGTGGACATAAATATGAGTTAATATATGTAAATATTTGTGAACATTAAAATGAGTTAGTGTATGCAAATCACTTAGTCTTTTTTTTTTTTCAATGGAGGTACTGGGGGTTGAACTCAGGGCCCGTGCAGGCTAAGCGTGTGCTACCGCTGAGCTCCACCCTCCTCCACAGATCACTTACAGTACCTCACTTACAGTAGGTGCTCTGTTGTTACCGATCTTGCTGAGTGGTAATTTGGAAAATGAATACATTAGGAATACATGATGGGTAGAAAGCTCTATGTAATTATATGTGTTCGTACCTGGGTAATCTGCACCTGCTTCTCCCCCGACCTTGCCTCTGCCTCACCTTTGGTCCCCTCACTGCCCCTCACTTCGCAGAAGTGCACATCTGCGCCCCGTGTTCTGAAGTGTCCTCCCATCTCCTGAATCTCTGTTTTGGGGGAGGATTTTTTTTTTAGCAACCACACTACGTATTTTGGAGGAGGATATGGTGAGATGATACAATGATGAAGGGTACAGTTTAATAAGTTGAATAGAAACAATGTAATTGTCATTGGTATACTTAGAAGCCTCTTTCCCGCCTCAGCAACGTTTACAACTGTGATGCATCCTTTAAGTTCAAAGAGTTTAGGAAATTATATGAATAGAGAAAAAATATAAGACTCTGTCATATCCAGTACATCCATTTTCCATGCTTAATCCAAGGGGGACATGAAGTTTAAGGGAGAAAATGACTCACGTGGAGGGAACCTAGATCTTCAGCCCTGCAGAGACTGCGGTTGAACTGTTTTTATCTCTAACTGTTAAAAAGAAAAGGTGGTTACTTACCGACATCATTCACTTGTTCCATCAGCACTAAGCACCTCCCGTGAAGTGCCAGGCCCCTAGCCAGGCACGGCGGCCCCGGCCATAGAGAAAGAACCAGGGTCCTGCCTGCCTGGAGTCAGTGCGTTAAAAGTTTTCTGATTGTTATCCCACTTCTTTGTGAAAAAGATAAGGTAGTTCATCTGCTGCTCCCTGACTACATCAGCAGAGGCGACAGTATCTATTTCATACTTTCTAAATATTCATGTTTAAGTAAGTTTAGCGGGAGGTAAAGAAGGCAGTAAGCTAGACGGCTAAAGAACTATAGTGACTGATTCTTCTTCGAGAAGGTCGCAAACAAAATTACCCTCTGTTTTGGGGGACTGACGTTGCGCAAACACGCTCACGTTTGAGGGTGAATAGCCAGCAACCAGAGCATGGGAGTCAGTGCAGCTTCAAGCTGACTTACGTGGCGTCTGCTGTCCTGGGAGCGGTAGGGGCACTTGAAAGAGATCACTCCAGGCCCCGCTGTTCTGTGCAGCATCTCGCGTCCCTCTGCCTGCGGTGAGAAGGGTGGGCCGGCCTGCAGGAGTTTTATTCCTTGCCCTCGCCCAGGTCTTTAATTATGGCCACATCTCGGGTTCCTGGAGTGTCTACAGTCACCTGTTAAGTAAGTTTAGAATAGTCTTTCCTTTCATTTTGGGGAAGTGTGTTTAGAAAGCAAATTAAGAAGCACCCTGAATAATTTTTAAAGATAATGTTGTAAAACTACAGAGCAGTTGTAACATTGAGACGGCGTTTACTGATACACTTGCATTTTAAAATTTTAGAGTATTTCTTTCCCATGTGGCCAGTTTACTGGGAACAAGAAATCAGATCAGGCTAAAAGCCAAAGAAGTGGCTTCTGGAATACAGACTAGTACTGAGTTTTACTAAGTTAATCATATTCAACCTCAATATTTCCTGCAGGTGTAAAATATTATTTTTAGTTGTGTTCTTGTGCCTGTCACTGTTAGAGCCTTGTGCAGACTTTCTGTCCCAATAACCACAGTTGTGTTTCACAAATAAACTGCACAAAGCCACTTAACCTGGGCAAGCCAGCCATGGTGGCAGTTGTATGACACTTGCTCTTTTTTGACACTTTGATTCTCTTCCTATTTTCAGGAATTCCACCTAAAAATCAAAGACTACCCACACATAATTTTCTTTTTTCTTTTTTATTGAGTTATAGTCAGTTTACAATGTTGTGTATACACATAATTTTCTAAAAGGAGCCACAGCTGTAATAAAAAGTGAATTCCTCTTTTCATGACAATGTTCCGTGTTAAAATGCTCGGCCGGGCTGCCTGTACCCTGTGATGTCCTTGTGAAGGAACTGACTGCACAGACTCCCAAACAAATCTACCATTTCGGGGATGGAAATGTGTGCTCTTTTTGATTGCTGACTCTCATCGTGTCTTTTGTGTGTGTGTTTATGTGTTTCAGGAAAAAAGTGCCAGTTCAAATGTAAAACTTAAAACTAACAAAGAGATTCCGGGACTAGTTCATCAACCCAGAGCAAAGTAAGTTCTCATTCCTTTTTTCCTATGTCGTTTTTAAAGCTAAAAATGTTTTTAGAGTGAGCTCCATTTTGCCTACCAGATAATCAAGACTTATGGTAAAGCTTCAGTAATGAAGACAGCATGACTGGGTCTAATGGAACAGACAGAGTCCCAAACCGGACCCAACATATGTGGCAGAGCTGACGTTTCAGTCACACCAGTTAGGAGAAAATAAAGGGGAATATCTTTATGAGTGTGGGGTAGGGAAGAACTTCGAATAACTCACGAAGGATGCAAATCTTAAGAAAAATGATTAATTATTATGACTACACTAAAATTAAGACCTTCTGTTTATCAGACTATGCAATAGGAGAGTAAAAGGCCACAGAATGAGGACAGATACTTATAATACATACAATGAACAGTAGCTGGGTTTCCAGAACACATAGAGTAATTCTATGAATCAGTAACTAAAAGATAGGCTAAAAACATGAACAACCATTTGACTGAAGAGGAAACATTAATATCTAATGCGTATGAAAAAAATACCATGGCACACTACAAGACTGGCAAAATTTAGAAGTCTGATGCTACGAAAGTTTTACTGGAATGTGGAGTAACAGGTACTCTTGACCCCTGGTGGTGGGAGTATAAACTGGTCAAAGTACTTCGGGAAAACAGTTTGCATTATCTAGTAGAATTGTTGCTTGGGCATACCTGGCCCCCCAGCGACTTCACTGCCAGGTGTGGGCCCTGGAGAAACTCTTGTGCGTGGGGGCCACCAGACACATTCTGGGAGCGTTCACAGCAGCACTGCTTACGTGAGATCTTAAAGCTCTTGAAGGAAAAACCCGAATGTCCGTCCAACATATAATGGATAACAAAAAGTGTGGCACGTCCTTGTGCTGGGAATGCTGCGTATCAGTGAAAATCCATGACCTGTACATAGCTCCACGTGTCAAGGAGGTGGAGCCTCGCCAGTGTCAAGTCGTGGCGTTAAGTAAGAAGCACCTGCCTCCGTGCACTTTTACACGTATGAAGCTCAAAAACTAAGGCAGAACTAAGCAAGAGTGTGTGTGTGTGTGTGTGTGTGTGTGTGTGTGTGTGTGTGTGTGTGGTGTGGTGGGGGGGGGTAAAACAGCAGAGGCCAGCAAGGAGATGAAGGGCACTAAATTCAAATCGTGGTCGCTTCTACTGCATAGAAGACAGAGGGGCCAGAGAGAGGTTCTGTTTCTTAATCTGAGTGGTGGTTTTATCCCTGTTCCTTTCATTCTTATTATTTAAAAGTGTACAAATAGCATGATAGGTTTTCTTTTCTATGTGTTAAGTATTTCACAGTTAAAATGTTAAAGAGAATAAAGAATAGTTTTCCGGATTTTTCTAGAACCGAATCAACACTAGTGTCTGTCTGTGAAGCTACCGCCCCTTTCCTCAGAGAGGCCCTGCTGTCCCCGAGGCTGCAGGTCCCCTTGCGCTGTTCTAGCCGAAAATGAACAAACCCCGAGGGTGCTGCTCGCACATGTGTCACAGTCACCCCACCCCAGCATAAATGTGACCAGTGCCTGTATGTAATAGAGCCCCAAAGTCAAAATCCTAAGTGGACAGAGTTGTGTTATCTCTGGCTCTTCCCAGGAAGTTGAGACAAAAATAACGTAATTGGTTTCACCTGGCTCAGCGTCTGGGGCCCGGCCACAGCCAGGGCCACTGGGATGTGATGGTTGGGACTCTTCAGGGGGTGGTGAGCGAGCGCAGGGACTTAATTTTTTTCACTTTCAAAGAAAACTGGACATTTTTAAATCCCCTTATCATTTTCAACGTCAGTTTAAGGATACCGCCGATTTTTGCCCTGTAGGTAAGCATTGTGCTGTATTCACAACCTCCCTAATCCACTCCCCGGCAATCACTTTTATCTCCTCTAATTTTATCTGCCTCTGGGGACAACAGATATCTGATGACCCTACCAAATCATCTTTTCATCCAAACCGTTGGAATATATGCTATTTTTAAATGCTTTTCTTATCTCTGCGTTCTAGAGAAAGACTATATTAAGAATTCCTTTTTTCCTTCAGAGCAAATATTTACTTAATTTTGACACACTAGCATGCTTTGCAAACTGGCACGTGCTGAAGCTTTCAGAGAAGTTGAGTAAATTGGAGCATGTGTTTACATTAAAATTATGAAGAAAATTCCCTGTTTTTCACACAACATCATGCTCGTGTCTGTGTGTGTGTGTGTGTGTGTGTGTGTGTGTGTACATTAAACTGTGAGTCAGATCATTCGGTTCCTGGAATTCAACTAAGAAATCTTTCTGGAGGGCCAAGAAAAGGGTTTTATTTTTCCTACTTGCTGACATATAGGATCTAGGAAACTATTCTTTATTATGTAGTTGTATACAGTACGATGAGGTCTTGTTTTTTCTTCCCCCATGAGTGGAAGGATAATTCTGTACCTTATGGAAGATCTACTGTAAAGGCAGGTGTCCTCACACCCTCGCCCTCGCTCGGCGTCACGTGTAGAGCATGTTCCCACTGGCCTTGAGATCTCAGGCAAGTGAGCCGGTGTCTTGGAGCTTCAGTTTTCTCCAAGAAAAACGGAGGTGAAAAATCCTGTCTTACAGAGCTGGGGCTTAAATAAAATAATAAAATAATGTATGCCCTAGGCTCATCACAGTGTCTGACGCTTGGCAAGAACGCCTTAACCATTAGAAACAGCCCGAACACCCTTTAACGGGAAGTTGGGCAAATGCGCTTCGCTGTGTTCACACAGTGGAACGTCAGCGGTCACCACGAATGCCCTGCAGCCATGGACAGCCCTGGGCGGACCCAGCAACACGGTGCTGGGACAGAGAGCAAGTCCAAGAGGTGACGTAGCGTGATGCGCTCTGTAAACTGACAAACACCTGGAACAGATCATCTGCTCTCAAGCACGGAGAGAGATGATGGAGCGAAGCTTTACAAACGGGAAGCGGGGACGTGATGGCTCCCTTGAGTTGGGAAGTAAGCTCTAGGTTGTTAAGATCCCAGCTTTTGCTTTTTTGTTTTGATTTCATGAGTACTTACTATACTTTTTTTAAATAACCGAATAAAAGTGAGCCATGAATGAACTAGTAGCAAAGGTGTGTCCTGGTGTGAAGATTAGGATTAATCCACTTCCCTGAGGTGCAGCTGAAAAACACTAATGATGATCATTAAGAAGGAACTGTGTTCAGGCTAGGATTTGTCAGGGACCCACGGGGTAACTGAGTTTCATTTTTGTAGGTGAAGTACTAGGGAATTAGGACCTTGTCTTCCCATACTTTTGTGGCTTAGATTTTTATTATTTGGAAGCTTATTTTTTTAAGTGACTAAACGTGGAAGCCATGTATCTTTCTGCTCTAGAGCTCATTTGTCCACCTTTGGTTCATTTGATTACCTGCATTGAGACTCCATAGTGTTGTCATCCTTGGTCTCATGAAGCTGAGAAGTTGTAGGAAAAAGAACCTTTGATGGCAGGGTTAACTCATAAGAGCTTTGCCAGGACCAGCTGAGAGCCATGAGAAATGTTTCAGGGCATAAATGGAGTATAATCTATAAAAATTTTGAGTCACTGTGTTGCACACCTGAAACTAATATAATACTGTAAACCAACTATACCTCAATTGAAAAAAGAGAGAGAGAGAGAAATGTTCCTGGGGGAGCATTGTGTTTTCCAAGGTGGAATTTTAGTTATTAGAGAGAAAGAGGAATGACTGAAGTTTTATGAGTTAAATCAAGTACCAACATAACAGACTTTTATAAAAGATTTTTAGATCTAATTAGTCTTAGCATCAAGGATTCATACTTTATCAACTAAATCAGAAGCAACGCAGTCACCCCTTTCTGGTATCCTGAGGAAGGATGGGAAACCACTGTGCTCTCCCTCCTCCGCTCCGCACTCACCGCCATCACACAGTCCGTCAGAAGCGATCTGAGAGTCCAACTGTTACTCACGGACTGCTTCCCGCGGTGCGCGGTGCGCTCTGGAGGGTCAGCGCCACCGTCAGTGCCGCTGTGTTGATAGAGTTTCCACGTGAGAAGACGGCATGGTGTTTCTCTGGGCGGGAGTCGGTCGACAGTGGGTAATTCACTTCATCAGAGCGAACGTTCCGCCTCTGCCCCGTTGGAAGGAAGGCGCCGAGAGCAGCAGGTTAAGCCTCGTGCTCTCGGGTCCCACCAGCCCTGAGACGCCGCACAGACCACGAGGCTCTCGTGTGGGGTCCGCCTGCCGCGCTTCCAGGGACCGCAGGCTTTGCCTGCAAGAGCTCATTTGGTGCATCGGGACTTGATAATAAATCAGTCCCCCTCCATTCTGTCTTCTCTGTCACAGTCCACGTGCTGTGTTTCAAGGTGGCAAGACAGGCAGCCCGTCTGCTGAGTGGCTCGTCCTAGCCGGTTCTGAAATGAGGCAGAAGCAGGCAGGGGTGTGCTGGGGCTCCTGGATGAAGAAAAGCAGGCAGCCTTTCTCCGTCCGTGGGCACGATGGTAGAGACACAGCGGACCGAAGGCAACTTGCTTACGTTTGGTTAGGACTGTTTCTCAAAGGCACGTGTGAAAATGAAAATGTAAGGTTCCTGCCTGACCCTGTACCCTCTACCCCAGAGCAAGGCGAGTACTTCCTACAGGATTCAGACGGGGTTGAAAATACGCTGTCTTGTCTAGTTAATCCTGGATTAGGTGGCTTTCGTTCAGTTTGCGTCCATCAAGGGATATCTTTTTCTTTTTTTAATGATTAGAAAGTATGCAGCTAGACTACACGAAACTGAATCCACTCAAGTGTTTACCGTATGGGCATCCTGAGGTCCTTCACTTTGGGTCTGAAACTCCTGAGACAGGTCCCTGAGCCTGTGCGTTCTCCATCACAGGGAGGGATGGAGACACACTTGCAGAGTCACGTTCACTTAAGATTTCCCCTCTTGTCCATCTGATGTGCATACATATGAGTACTAGCCAAACACCCCTGTTTTCATGTTGCAATGTTTGAGTAAAGGAGCCAACGGAAGTTAGTAACAATCTCAGAACATTACTGCCGTAAAGGACCTCAGAGACCAGCCCAGCGGTTTTATAAATGAGGAATCTCAGGCCTGCACCCCATCTGTGCTAGAAAGCTGTGCTGCCTCTGTGAGGAGTCGTGAGTCCCATGGATTTAAACAGAGACCACTTGGTCCATTAATTAAATATGTATTACCCTCCTGTTATATGCAAGGCAATATATGCTAAAATCTCTAACCAAAAAAGGTTCCACCATGAACATCAGATCCTAAAAATGCCACTTTTATGACGTCCCTTGGGATTTCCTAGGGAAACTAATATATATGGTTATATTTAGATAGATAGACAGACAGACAGACAGACAGACAGATAGACAGACAGATCGATCTACCGATCGATCAGTATCTTCATGCCTTTTCTCTCTGGGGCCCAGAGCTGTCCAGCACCTTCATCTGCTGGGAGCTTGGCTAAGAACATGACAGGTGCCCCAAAAAGTGTCTAGGCAGCCACAGTGGGTGCCAGAATATTTGTGTTTCCCACTCACAAGAAATCCCCCAGGCTCTCCCTCAGAGCCTGTTTACACGAACTTTAGGCAAAACTCTAACAAGCCTGGCTGTGCTGTTGCCAAACATGAAGTCCAAGCAGCAACTGGGAAGAAAAAGGAAACAGGACTGCTCCCTCCTCTGACAGGAGAAAAGGCTCAAAAAGCAGCCAAAGAACGGAAGCCTGGAGTTCAAGGCCGTTTCAGCTTTTGCTTAAAGAGGAGCCGCTCCACCCACCGTCGAGGTTCCCAGACTATCCCAGTATTACAGATGAGGGTTAAGACTTAAGGTCAGGGGAGTTGCCCCTCGCCATGAAATGAAAGTTGAGATAGATCGTCTATTAAATTGAGTGCACAGTTTAGAAGACTTGCATCCAAAGTGGCTCGAATAAAAAACGTTTTGGCACTTAAAGAAAGTCAAACCCTGAGGAATCTGGAAGAGCTCAGCTCTGCAAAGCGGCTTTTCTGTCCAGACAGAGCATGAGGAGGCTGTTTACTCTCACCATCCCGGGTTCCGCCCTGCCTTTCCAGCCTGCAGTGAGAGGGCCTGTTTCTGCAACAGGACGTGTACGTAAATTACATGATACCCGTGGTGCCTTCCAGCAGTGAAGGCTACCAGGTCTTCTCATTGCTTCTCCTTGATCTCCGCGCTGATGGCTGTGTGCTCCCAGCTTCGAAACCTAGCTTTTACGCACTGGGGAAAACCTCTTTGGAGCCTCATTACCTGTCCTGGGAGGCCTGAAGGGCTTCGGGTCACTGTGTCACTCTCTGTGGCCCCAAAAGGATGAGGCGTGTGGAGGGGATGTCAGGTGGGCTGCTCACCGTCCCTCGGCGGGACGGGAAGAAGCTGGTCCAGAGCCACCCCTCCCCCGACCCCCACTACTAAACCAGGGGGCAGTAACTAACAGTAAGGGAAGAAACACTGCCGAGTGTCTCTTCCCCCAGCATCCCGAACCCCCTTGGACACCCACGGCTGTTCACTGGGTGGAAACTACTCTCGTTAAGACCATGTTGCTGCCAAGCCCCTTTCCTTCCCGTCTGTGAATCTTCTCTGCTGTCCTTCCCTTCTAAGTTTGTCCCCACCAACCACGTGTGTCTCATTAGGTATGCCAGTAAATTGCCAAGGACAAGCAATCACACAGGGCAAGGGCTCCTCAGACATGCCTCCTCACTGACTCCCACGTTCCAGTGGAATTTCAGTTCCAAAGAGATGCCTTTGCTGTCCCCGGGACAGAAGATGTTCAGGGACAACGTCAAGTTCCCGCTCGTTTGCGGCCAGCCCACGGCTGTGCAGTCGGCTGGACACCGTGCTGACGCTGACAGCCTTTGTGAAACACACATTTCAGTATAATAATTAGGATATATTTTCTTGTTGTGGTTACACCCAGGGTTGAAATAGGCTGTATGCTGCTTGCTTATACTTTTTGTTTTAATGACAAATATGTATCTGAAGAAAAAATTTGGCACACACCTCCCAGTCACACCACTAAAAATAACTTGAGTACTTTTGAAAGGAAATTGTGTTCCTTAAATCATAGGAACTGACAGGCTATTAGGAAACACATTTGTAGGATTACTCATAATGACATTTATCCTCAATATGATACTTAAGTGCAAAAGTCTGCAAGAAATAAATGGCTGCCCCAAAGTTGAGGGACCCAGCAGTTTTTGTTTGAAGGAGCTAGGTTTTCTTAAACATGGAAATATGTCTTTAACTATTCTTTGTTTTTCAGCATGCACATCTCTGAAAGCCAACAGGAATTCTTCAGAATGCTGGATGAAAAAATCGAAAAGGTAAGAGGTAAAAGAATTAAGCGTTTGAGGGAAATATTGCCTCATGACTTAGGGTGATGATACTCTGGTTTGTACGTTGCAAAGCTGTTCTTGCAAGGGGATGGCTAGAGAGTTAAAACCAAAATCCCCCACCCTGCTCCAAAAACTGGGGCTCTGAGAATGTTTAATGTATATCAGAGCTTCCCAGGATCTGGGCTGCCGCTGATCATTAATTAAAGCGTGGGAAGTCAGGTAGAGGCTAGTAAGAGCCTTTGCGTAGAGACAGAATGTTGCATCACTGTGTGTTGTCGACCCCGATGCCCCGCTCTGACCTCAGACTGCAAGCAAGACGATCTCCAGTACCTGCCTGCCCCCCGCCCAGCGCCGCTCTGAGTCCTTTACAAACGTCGCGGACATGTTGCAATCGGTACCTACCTCAGAGAAGTGGCTGTGAGACAGGTGATCTCTGTATTTTACAGACAAGGAAACTGAGACTCAGAGTGCGTGAGTAACTTACCAGGTTTGCAACTTTGCCCAGCGGTGGAGTTAGAATTCCAGCCCACGTCTGTCTGACTCCAAAGCGGTCCCCCAGTTGCTTCTCTCGGAGTGTGTGGATTTTGTCTAGACAGTGAGATACAAAGTTGATCTGTGTGGAAATTGAACCCATGCTTAGGATCTCAGAGCGCCATATATGAATCAACAGAATGATGTATGGAATATGGTAGTAATTAAAGGCTTACGTGCGTATAGAATTTAAATTTATCACTGCAGGGGGTGAATTTTAAATGCTAAAGTTATCAATCTTAGTATTATCATTTGAAAATCTTACTCTGAAGACTAGAATTCTACATTCAGAACATATCTCAGCCATGGTTAAAGTATCGTAGGTCAGTTTTACCTTTGAAATGGTTTCCATTTTAATTTTTGTTTATTTTTCATTTTTTGTGGCCCTTTTATTTGAATGTTTCTTCAGTCAGTGGAAGACAGTGAAGGAGGTCTTAAATTCATCCAATTTTTAGCAGCAGACCCCCCTCTGACCAAAAGAATCATTGTGTAGTCTTCTAACACACCATTAAAAGACCAGCATATGTTACCAATATGAAAAACAGAGATGGATAATGAATTAAAATGAAAATAATAGCTTAATCTGCAGTGTTCCCTGGCTATGGTTAAATACTTAGTTGAGTATGTGGGGGGGGTTTACTTTTAGTGAAATTTTACCTTATGCATGACTTTTCAGACTAAAAAGGTCATTTAGGAATAATTACCAAGTTTCACATGCTGGTTCAAAAGCTGTTCAACTTGTCGATAACACTTTGTTTTCAGTAAAGAGAGGCATAAAAGAAGTGTTTTATTCTCACTGTAATGATGAAGGGCTTTCTCCCTCTCAATTTGTTTGGGTTATTTCTCTTCCACTAACTTCTTGGCAACACAAATATCTGCTTAGTAGTCAGAGGTGGGCTGTAAAAATTGAAACCTGAATTGTGAGTTACCTTTTTAAACGACATTTACAAACCCTGGCCAGGCATTGAAGATGCTCTTATCTAATCCCTGTCCGGTGTGTTTCCACAGTCTAAATTCTGCTTCTTTTTACTCAAAACTGAAATACATTGTTCCCACCTGAAACGCGATTTCCCTTCTCACTTTGCATCCAGGGTACAAACTATGATGTGTTGAGCATAACAGAAACAAGGTTTATAACTTGATCATTTATTGGATGGAACTTGAGGATCTGTACATACAACATAAACAGTGTTCCCAGTATTAAATACGTTTATGTTCAAAGAAGAGCCTTTACGTGATCTATGACGTGTGCCCAGTTACAGATTTCTAAGGGAATTTTCTGTCTTCTCTGAACCAAACTTGCCTGATTCTCCTCCCGTACCTAAAGCCTGTCCTTCTGAATATTGTGAATATGCCATCCCGTGTGTCATCTCGACATCCAGCCTCCCA